CACAAGTGCAACTAATGTGACATTTATTGTGGCAACGTTTCGCTCTCCAGGAGCTTTATCAAGCCATTACAAACAATACATGGACACAGAGGGTATATAAAGGCTCAGAGTGAGGTGAATACTAGTGAGGTACCATTTCAATGTTCACTAGTGGTAGTAGTAGTAGTAGTGGTAGTGACAAAAGTAATACAATATGGTAGAGCAATTAATTCGTACATGAGTAAAAGGATATAAAAGCTATTACTTGGGTAACATAAAAATAGGTTGGACAAATAATAAACTGGAATGAGGCAGCTTGTTTCAGTGTTCACTCTCTGTGCTTTGTGTAGTATAACAGGAGAGACTATGTGATGGCAGGGTTTACTGTTTTCAGGAGGATTCTTGCTAAGACTTCGGAGATGGTGAAGCTGCCGTTGTTTTGTTTAATTGTATTCGAAACAGCGATCAGTGCTGATTCAAGGCACTTGCGTGTGCGGAAATTAGTTTCTTTGATCACTAATTGGGCGTCTCTGAATTTCATAAGATGATTGGTGGAATTTCGGTGTTGTACACAGGCGTTGTTTAAGTTGTCGTTCCTACATGCGTATATGTGTTCATTGAGGCGGGTGTCAAGGTTTCTTGCTGTTTCACCTACGTAGACCTTGTCACAGCCTCCACAGGGTATAGTGTAAACTCCTGCATTGACTGGTTCGTGGTGCTTGGGTTTTGTCCTGGTTAGATCCTTTATTGAAGTGGTAGAAGCGATGGCGACTCTGGTGTTAGCTTGTGAAAGTACTTTTGAGACGTTTAGTGCAACCTGGCTGTTGGGAAGAATTATAACTTTGTTGGGAGCGGCGTTGATGCGTGGAGAATTGATGATCTGAAGAGCTCTTTTCTTGCAGTCTTTGATGAAAAAAGAAGGAAATTGTAACTCAGTGAATGTTTGGTGAATGTTACCAAGCAACCCTAAACCAGCACACATGTATGGTTTACCCAAGACCCATAAACACAATATTCCTCTCAGACCAATCACGTCAGGAATAGGCAGTGCTCCACACAAACTAGCCGGAGTTCTTGCCAAACATCTTTCCTGCCTTCTGGGGACCATCAGCCCCACTCATCTTAAACACTCAGGCGACCTTCTCAACCGCATCCGTAACCTCTCCATCCGTAACAAGAAACTAAGCAGTTTGGATGTGACTTCCCTCTTCACAAAAGTACCTACCAAAAAAGCCATCGAGGTTCTACGACGTAAAGTCAACCAGGACCTTAATCTTCCTTTACCTCCCGGAGATTTTGTTGACTTGATTGAACTCTGTGTTAACTTCAACTGTTTTTTCCTTCAATAACAAGCTCTACAAACAAACCTACGGCATGGGAATGGGGTCCCCAATAAGTGCCGTCCTAGCCAACTTATACATGGAACACCTAGAGTCCGAACACTTCGCCAACATCATCCCTTCAAGCGTCACTTGGTTACGTTACGTGGACGATGTCCTCGTAATAACTCCAAAACGTTTTGATGTACGGGATCTTCAAGCAAGGCTCAACGCAGTTGAACCAGCGATTCAGTTTACACTAGAAGAAGAGTCCAATGACAAGCTACCTTTCCTCGACGTCCTCATTCACAAAGTAGACAACAACCTAAGATTTCAAGTTTATCGGAAACCCACCAATAAAAATGATCTCACACACTTCTATTCCAGTCAAGATACAAGACCAAAAGAGGCATCATCATCGGGTTTTTCCTAAGAGCATACCGAATTTGTAGTCCTGAGTTTCTTGACGAAGAATGTACTTACATTCACCAAACATTCACTGAGTTAAAATTTCCTTCTTTTTTCAAAAAAGCTGAAAAGGGAAAAGAGCTTTTTCAGATCATCAATTCTCCCGCATCAACGCCGCTCCCCAACAAAGTTAAATTCTTCCCAACACCCCAGGTTCACTAAAGTCTCAAATATTTCAAAAGTAACCCAGGGGCCCATGCTTCCCCAAACTTCAAAAAAGGGATCTAACCGGACAAACCAAAAGCCCCACGAACGTCAAGCAGGAGTTTACACATACCCTTGGAGGTTTTGTGACAAGGTCTACGTAGGTGAAACAGAAGGGGAAAACCCGAACCCGCCTAATTTAACAAAATTAGCATTGGGAAACGACAACTTAAACAACGCCTGGTACAACACCGAATTCCCCCAAATCTCTATAAAATTCGGACCCCCAATTATACAAAAAAAACAAATTTTCCGCACACGAAAGTGCCAATCAGCATAAAGCTGTTTAAATAAAATTTAAAAAACAAGGGGCCCTTCCCACCCCAAAAGTCTTAGCAAGAATCCTCCTGAAAACAGTAAAACCCTGCCATCACATATTTTCCCTGTTATCTACCAAAGCACAGGAGGAACACTGAAACAAGCTCCCTCTTTCCATTTTAAATTTTGCCCAACCTATTTTTTTTACCCAAGAAAATAGCTTTTATACCCTTTTACTCGTAGAAAAAATTGTTTACCATATTGTAATTTTTGTCACTACCACTACTAACTATTTACACCACTATGAACACGAAATGGTACCTCATGTATTACCCCCTTTGGGCCTTTTATACCCTCTGTGCCATGTATGTTTTTTAATGGCTTGATAAAGCCCTAAAAGAGCAAACGTTGCCACAAAAAAAGTCACATTTTTTTGCACTTGTGCCTTTTTCTTTACATATTGTCGGTAATTCTACCAACTTTAAAACAAACGGTTGGAAATTGTTTAGAGTTATGAAAAATAGTCGAAAAGGGAAAACCCCCTTTATGAAATATGTCTGGACCACACACTGTTGGTCCAAAAAACATGCACTTGAAAGGGGATAAAATAGAAATCTTTTTTTTTTTTACTAAAAAATGCGGCACAACCAAGTTGTTAGAAGAATGGGGGATGTGGAAAAACCCAATTTTTGGATCCCTGTAACATAGTTAGTTTTAAAAATTTGTATAACTGTTGGGGTCAGTATACCATGAGAATTGTTAAGATCAGTGTGAAAAGGGTAGGTGAGCCTGTAAAGTAATTTTAAAAAAGTTCTGAAAACCGACATGTCGGGGGATTTAGGGCATTGTTGAAATGCAGTAGTGTGAGATGGGAATGGTGAGGAAAGGCCCAGCGAGAAGGTACAAAAGGAAATTGATTTTAAAAAAAATAGAAAAAAAGGGGAAAGAAAAAACATGAATTGGAATTTAAAGGGGAAAGAAAAGATAAATGCTAGTGGACATAAAAAAGTGGAAAAAAATTATTTCATTTATAAAGGGGATTACATAACCTAGCAAATGGACTTGATCCTGGGGGTTTTGGAATAAAATCCCTTGCAATGCAAGACGGGAATGGAGTGAGTGATGATGGAATGTTTTCTTTCTTTTTGGGTCACATACCTCATTGGGAGATGCGAGTGTTAAAAAAAAGAGTAAGAAAGGGGGGGGAAATAAAAAGGGGTGGGGATGAAATAAAGGTTTTATTACGTTTTTACCTTTTTAGGACGAGAGGGACATTTTTTTGAAAAACCTGGTATGATGGGTAAAGTGGAACTTTTACCGTCTTTTTGGGCTCTCAAGAGAGAGGAAAAAAAAGCCCAAGACAAAACTTGAAACCCGTGGTAGATGGGTAAAGATGGAATCTTTGACCTGTGCTTGTAGTCTCTCAAGAGAAGGGAACAAAAAGCACCAAAACACAAAAATTTAAACCAGTGGTATGTGGTGTAAAGATGGAAACTTGACCTTGCTTGTGTCTCTCAATGAGGAGGAACAAAAAGCCCAAGACAAAAACAGTTATGATTAAATGGGATCCCTTTAGGAGAGTTAAGGGGGAGGCTGGGGGAAATTAGGTTGGGCCTAGTGCGTGTTGAAGGTTACGACATACCTGGAAGGGTTTGGGGGCGCACCCCTGTGGCCCGTCCTGACCAGGCCTCATGGGGGAACGGGGTGATCAACCCGGCTTTTTTGCTGGGCCCCATGCAAAGATGGAAAACCACAGCCTGGTGGGCAGGTTTTGATTTAGGTGTTGTACAGTGCCTTCTTGAAGACAGGGGGTCTTTATATTTTCCCCTTTTGTAAGCGGGGGGGGGGTTGAACTCTTACCCTGATGCTTATTGGTGGGCTCTTTTGATTCATGGCACCTTGCTTTTCATTGGGGGGATATGGATCTCCCCAAGTCTTTTTTTTTTTTAGGGAGTGTAAATTTGGGACTATTCCCCGGATTTTTTAAGTGTAGATTAAAATGTTCTAGGTAGTAGGTGTAACCAATGCCCAGGGAGGACTACCCTCCTGTGGGGTAGGTTGGGAGACAACCCCCCGGGAGGTATACCCTCCTGCCAAATGAGTGTAAAAGTGGGGAAACCTGTAATTGTGTTATTGTGGGAGGGTTGCTGGTGTCTTTTCTCTGTTATAAAGATGCAAGATTCAGGTATGTATTATACTTTTTACTTTCATTAGGCACACACACATATGTAATGCTATATGACACACCCCCTGGGTTTTCTTCTATTTTCTTACTTTTTGTTTTGTTTTTCCCTCTTATCTCCATGGGGAAGGGACAGAATTTTTCTTTGGAACAAAGGGGGTAGTAACCCCCTTTCCTTATAAATTACTAAATTTAGAAAGAGAAAAACTTCATTTTTTTTTTGGGCCACGTTTTTCTTAGGGGATATGGCCAGTTTGTTGAAAGAAGAAGATTAATGTGTATCTTTCTCACCTACATTCCAGGGAATACAAATCAAGGGACTTCAACTGTTCCCTGTAATTTAGGTACTTTATCTTAATTATACAAGCCGTGAAAGTTCTCTACATTCTCCAGGTCTACAGTTTTGCCTGCCTTGAAGGGGGCCATTAGTGTACAGCAATATTCCAGCCTAGAGAGAACAAGTGATTTGAAGAGAATCATCATGGACTTGGCATCCCTAGTTTTGAAGGTTTTAAAGGTGAATGAGAGTTGTTTGAGTCCCCGAGTAGAGACTTGTTTTCTTGAAGTAAAATATAAGTATTATCTTGCAGATTTGGAGGAAAGAAGTGATGGTGCCTAGAACAATTATTTAAGTATTCACCTGTGGAAAATTTGAGGTCTGCCATTGATGGCAGCAGCAACCTTGAGAATGGCAGGCGAGTACTGTCACTCAGTTTATGTAATTCTTGTATAAACTGCCATTGATGGCAGCAGCAACCTTGAGAATGGCAGGCGAGTACTGTCACTCAGTTTATGTAATTCTTGTATAAACTGCCATTGTTGGAAGCAGCAACCTTGAGACACTTGGCAGGCGACGATACTGTCACTCAGAGTTTATGTAAATTCTTGTATAAACTGCCATTGATGGCAGCAGCAACCTTGAGAATGGCAGGCGAGTACTGTCACTCAGTTTATGTAATTCTTGTATAAACTGCCATTGATGGCAGCAGCAACCGTGAGAATGGAGGCGAGTACTGTCACTCGTTTATGTAATTCTTGTATAATGCCATTGATGGCAGCAGCACCTTGAGAATGGCAGGCGAGTACTGTCACTCAGTTTATGTAATTCTTGATATAAAACTGCCATTGATGGCTAGCAGCAACTTGAGAATGGCAGGTGAGTACTGCACTCAGGTTTATGTATTCTTGTATAAACTGCCATTGATGGCAGCAGCTACCATTGAGAATGGCAGGCGAGAGTACTGTCACCTCAGTTTATGTAATTCTTGTATAAAACTGCCATTGATGGCAGCAGACAACTTGAGAATGGCAGGCGAAAGTACTGTCACTCAGTTTATGTAATTCTTGTATAAAACTGCTTGATGGGCAGCTGCAACCTTGAGAATGAGCAGGAGATTACTGTCACTCATTTATGTTAATTCTTGTATTAATGCCATTGATGGCAGGCAGAACCTTGAGAATGGCAGGCGGAGTATGGTCATCAGTTTATGTAATTCTTGTTATTAAATGCATTGATGGCAGCAGCAACCTTGAGAATGGCAGGCGAGTACTGTCACTCAGTTTATGTAATTCTTGTATAAACTGCCATTGATGGCAGCAGCAACCTTGAGAATGGCAAAAGGTGGTGAGTACTGCACTAGTTTATGTAATTCTGTATAAACTGACATTGATGGACGCCAGAACTTGAGAATGGCAGGCGAGTACTGTCACTCAGTTTATGTAATTCTTGTATAAACTGCCATTGATGGCAGCAGCAACCTTGAGAATGGCAGGTGAGTACTGCCACTCAGTTTATGTAATTCTTGTATAAACTGCCATTGATGGCAGCAGCAACCTTGAGAATGGCAGGTAATTGTTGTGTCACTTTGAGAGTCTGCATTGATGGCAGCAGCAACTTTGAGAATGGCAGGTGAGTACTGCCACACACTTTGTGCAATTCTTGTCTAAACTGCCATTATAGAGGAAGTGGCAGAACATTAAGTAAATTGAGCTGCTACCCCACTATACTTCAGTTATAAAACACTGCTACCCCACTATACTTACACTCGCTCACTCATTTGACCATAAACAGAAATATTAATCTCAGTCTTAAAATAATGAATCCTGTGATACTCCAATACTGAAACTATATACTGTGCCAAAACAAAAGCATTCACATTGCTAAACTCATAAACTAGTATTTAGTCACTTAGCCATAAGACCAACTTACCTCATAATTTGTAATATTTTACAATTAAGAATAAAACTAAGTATGCCCGAAATGCCTAGCCATGCTAAGCGTTCTAGTGGTACACTCTGTAATCACAATTTTACTACATGTAAACCAAACAATAACCAAATTTCTGTAAACTCAGCATTGTAATCCTTATAGAGAATAAACTTTGAATTTGAATTTGAATTTGAATAAAACACTGGTACCCCACTACCCATCCCTTAACCATTTGAGGGTCGACAGGCCCTCTCCGAGACTCGTTCTCAGGGTTGGCCAAATTTAAAAAAAATAATAATTTTTTCTTATGAAAAGATAGAGAATCTTTTCCCGATCATAATGACACCAAAAATATGAAATTTGATGGAAAACTTACGGAATTATGCTCTCGCGAAGTTAGCGGTCTCGGCGATGTTTACGAATCGGCGATTTTGCCCACTTTGAGCCCCATTTTCGGCCAATTTCACTGTACTAGTCGACAAAAAACATGAATATTTCGCTAGAACTCCATTTTTTCTATTGAATGAGTGCAAGAAACCACCCATTTACCAATTTCAATATCCATTACGTAGTAGAATTTAGCAATTTTGCCAATTTCACACAAATTTCAAAAAATGCCAATTTCCCAATAGGGTCCAGAACAAACAAGAAATACATTCCTGGCACTAAAATGACATTTCCTCTGTTCAATAGTCACGTCTCAAGGCCCCACTTACATTCTTTTTGCTTTCCACTTTGAAATGTTTTATTCCGCAAAAATAAAGATTTTCTTTATGCAGAACAACTGCATTAGTGTAAAGAAATGGTATGAATCATATTGTGTGCAACTTGCAAAAAGAAATTAGACTCACCAGTTACGTGTATTGTGACGCTTAGGCTGATTTGTTTACTCGGTAAAAATCGAACATTTCTGCTACTTTGAGCTCAATTTCAAGGTACTTTTTCATTGTAAAACCAGTCAAAATCATCTCAATTTCTATGATAACCTTCCATTCTATAAAATGAAACAAGAAAACTAGAATACAACAATAAATAACATAAACGAAAAATAACAGTGCAAAGTCCGCTGTTTATTCCAAAAAAACGTCGAAGTTTTTTTTTTCTCATTAATGCACTGTGTGCTGCAGATTTTTTTTAATACTGTGCATCACTGACCACATAGACTCCATTCTTTCATATGGAGGCCCTACCAGCTTTCTCCCACTAGATTTGAGGCCCGCAAGAATTTAGGCGGACTAGTACGTCAATAACCCTGGGTCCCCGTAAGCCGTACTAGTACGTTCCGAAACCTCAAGGGTTAAGCATGACCTACCAACCGCTGACTATGCCTTCATCTGCTGCACCTCCCTCACCCGACACCTGTATAAACTCATACCAATCCTTCCCGCCTGTGCTTTTCCAGTCTTCCGACTAAGGTGATCATCAACTCCAAGTCTAGGGACTTGATTACCTCGTCTTTTTATGTATTATCTACAGTCTTCACAAGATGTCGCTCTTCGAAAAATAAACATAAATGCAGCAATAATAAACCTTTATTGACTACATTTTGCCCCACTACACTGACTACGTTTCGTCCAACACTTTGGGTTTTATCGTCAAAACAGATCTGTTGTGCTTGGATAAAACCCACTGTAGTCATTAAAGGATCACATTATTCTGCATTCGAGTTTAATTTTGATCATGTTGACATTTTTAACCATTTATCTCTATTATGTCCTTTTACTGAAAAAGCCAAGATAGAGTAAACTTTGTAGGTTGACCAGAGAAGCCCTTCCCAACAGAGACAGTGCTGCAATGAACTGATAAAACTCTTCAATTGGAGTGTAGATACTGAGCTGAAAGAGGTCCTTGTTTTTTATGCTGGTGTAAATAATGCTGTGGGTTTAGCTTACCATACCAAATTATATTAAAGTTTTTAATACATTCTGGTAGTAGTTTGGTAGACAGCAACCGCCCAGGGAGGTACTACTGTCTGCCCATATGCATGTAAAATGGAAAGCCTGTAATTGTTCTACATGATGGTAGAATTGTCTGGTGTCGTTTTCTCTCATAAATAGCAAGGTTTTTTCAGGTATGTCCTTGCTACTTCTGCATACACTAATTCACACTAACACTTGCATACAAACATAAATATACACACAACCACCCCTGGGTTTTCTGCATTTTCTTACTAGTTCTTGTTCTTTTTATTTACCTTTTATCTCCCTGGGAAAGTAGAACAGAATTCTTCCTCCGAAGTCATGTGTGTTCGTAAAAGGCCGGCTAAAATGCCAGGAGCAAGGAGCTAGTAACCCCTTCTTTTGTATATATTACAAATTTAAAGGAGAACCCTTGTTTTTTCCTTTTTGGGAGACCCTGCCCTTGTGGGATATGGCCATTTTTTTGATAGATGATTTATATATTCTGAATTTTTCAGAGCCTAAAGGATGCCTAAAAAGGATATATTTGGAGTCAGGCAGCGCACCCCACGGTCCTGGCCACAACACCACACATACCAGCAGCTCAACTGATCAGTGACTACTTATAGCACCTACGAAGTTTCCTTGTGAAGACAGCCAGGGATCCAATAGCACTTTGGTTTCCTGATGGAAGACAGCCCTTGTGTGACCCCTGCTTTTCAATGGGATCATTTTACACCACCATCCCACGCAGCATCCCCTTGCTTCTTAGGGAGGGATTTCTGATGCAGATATGGAACCAGTCCCTAGAATCTTGCAGGTGTAAAAGTAACATATCTATTTGTTCTCATTCCAAGGAGCACAGGAAAGGAATTTCAAATATAGACCGAGAATAGTAATTGTAAGTTATTCACTGGGTCTGAAGTACCAAGATTCTGTTGATTTAAATTTCCACAGTAAATGTGATTCTAAGATATACAGAGCATTGTGTTATTGTATATTGTATGTGTTATTAGGCTTTGCAATATTGTTCCTTACTACTAACCTGGAGGTATACAAACTATTATAGATGAACCTGAAAACCTTCATGCACTGAATGACTTTTGTGTTCTCTCTTTTTTATCTTTTGATCTCTCCTTCCCTCTAGGGAGCTGGCCTAGATGCCAGTGATGGGTTTTTTTGATCCCAAATAGTAGTTTATTTCCTCACCTTAGATCTGACCGATTCCTTCCCAATTTCCACGCACAATTTTTCTGTCTTGTCCAAAGTGATAGATAAGATGGGGGAGGGGGGTTAAGGCAAGCCAGGAGAGTGCCTGTGTAACTCAAGGCGAGTGAGAGTACAACCATGCCACATTCAAAGGCTTGCAGCCTCCATCTAGTAACAGTGAGAGGCACAGTATTCATACTGTTATCCATGGCTGCCATCTGTAGGTACCAAAAACAAATGTTTATAATCAAAAACATTTGCTGTGGTGTGATAGCTTTCTCTATTGTCCAATGGGTGTAGTAAGCTGTCTTCTCAC